AAACTTCACTTTTCAAAATAGTAGTGCATAAAAAGGAATTACAACTTCGTTGTCAACTTATTTGAAATAGGCTTACACTTACTATCACGAGGGTTAAGGTTAGTGGATGGAGGACCTAGTTCCAGTTTCGCAAGATACACGGTCGTACACATAGGATGAAGCCTTCTTTCAAGAAAAATTTTTTAAATATCAAATTCATAGTCAATATATAGAAGCCATTCGAAATTAAATAAAGTGGGTTGTGTTAACGAGTTTCATAACCCGTTCAGGGTCAATAGAAGAGCTGAAACCAGGAAATTTGAGTTATTTACCATTAAAACTCCATGTATAAGCAAAATATGTATAAACAGTTATACCTGTCTTATTGCCTTTTCGATCAGTTGGTGATAACAGCAGTACGCGGTGGCACAGGACAAGATGAAGACAAACAGTTTAGAAGTATAAAATCGATCCGATAGGGAAGCAGTTGAGAGATTCTGACAGCTCAACTTTTTACGCAAAATATATCACTCTAATAACGTATAAAAATGGGTAAAAGCGCTGAACGTATCCTCTGTACAAATTCTCATAAACTTATAAATATAATTTATCAATAAAAATGAGTAATTAATTTTATTTCCATTCTTTTGACTTTTTAAATCTCAAAATCCTCCGAGCCTTGCTTATTTCTATAAAATGTGGGCTCGAAAAATGATGGTTTGCTTGAGTTACATATTTACTCCTTCCGGTTTATTAGAAATGGCATTAAAACTTTGCAATAATCCAATTCTGAAAGGGATAAATAGACACATTATTTTGCGAATGGAACTACCTTAGTGAATCAAAACCATGGAATCAAATACCATGAAAGACAAATTGGGTTTAGTCGGCAACCTACAAACAAATGCTCCTTGACACATTGAACAAGAATTAACGAAGTTACCGAGCTCTACTAGTCTACGAAGGATGATTATTATTTGGGTAGCTAACGCTTTCTTTAGCATAATTTTCAAAGAAATAAAAGCATCATGGAAGCTATCGTGATATGGACAATGCAGTAGCAGCTTGATAAAAATTAACTAATTTTCTTGAGCTCTAACAACTGAACTTACCACACTCCCAAGAATCGTAGAGCTTTACTAGTTAACTCAAAGCAATCGTTATAAAACTTCATTCTATCATTTTTACGACTCTCGAAATTCCTTCAAATTGGCTTATGACTAGTGAGAAAAGGAGGTATACACTTGAATTACATTGTAAAGAGCGCCCATACCAGTAGTTGACGTAAAGGGTATGAAAATAATTGAAATTGGATGCACAACGGACTCAACAGAATCAAAAACTATCGCAAGCTAAACTTGTAAATGAAACATTTGTAGGTCTGGTCAGCTCAGTGGTGGAGAGTAGGTATGATTTTCTGCATGCGGATTTGCAGTGTATTTAGAACACATAACCCTTGATGAGAGGAGAAGCTTAATTCCGAATAATATCGGATCAAAACTCTACTGATTCTTCCCTCCGGAGGCTCAGTCACCCCATTACTATGCATATAGAAACAAAAAGTGGCGATTACGTCTTTGTATTTTGAGCTTCATAGTAACCTTTGTCGTGTAGGCTACAGTAATTTTGATACTGTCCTAAGGTAATAACGCTATAATCTCATGAAAAATAGTTTAATAACTATTTATCAACTTAGCAGTCGTTTAAGAAGTTGTACATTCTTGATAACCAATATGCGCCTAAAAAATTAATAA